AGAAGGACAAAGGGGCCGCGCAGCAGCTACGGCCACGGGAGAAGCAGGGGAAGTTCATTTAACTCACTGTCAACCCAAATCAGAGCGGTGAAATGAGAAATCAGAACAAATGCTTAAAACACCTTCCCCCCGCCCCTCTCTCATTTCCTGGGCTCGTCTCCCCTTTCCCGCTGCCTCCTGCCCCGGCAGCGCGGGGGGGCGGGGAGCGGGGGCTGTGATCAGCTCGTCACGCTTCTTACTGCTCCTTCTTCCTCACGTTTTCCTTCTGCTCCAGGGCGGGCTGCAGCCAGAAAACCTGCCTCGGCGTAAGGCGATCTCCGCGGGGACACACACACACACACACAGACACACACACAGACTGACACACACACAGCACCGGATGCACAGCCTGCCTACACTCATCTCTCCCCCTCTGGCTCCCGCGCAGCCCGGGCTGGCTGCTGCAGCAGGACGCACGAAGCAGGGCCCGCTGAGAGCTCTGCAGGGTCCCTCTGACTGCACAGCTGCCACTGCCATGTTTTCCCCTGTCAGACAGTGACAGCTCGTTAGCGGCAGAGCCTTAAAAACAGCACCCAGTCTGAGAGAAAGCCCCGTGGAAGGCTCTCCGACTTGATTCCTCAAATGCAGGAAGGCTATTTTCAGCTAAAAGCCATGAAGTGACCCCAAGAGGGGATCCCCACAGCCACCACCCAAACACCAAGCAGTCACTTCATCCTGAACTCCCCTTCTGGGCTGCTCTCAATCTAAAGCGATGCCACAAACCCGAACATCAGCAACAGTGCTCAGGGCATGGCTCACAAACAGGTGCTTGCTGGTTCCAGGTGAGTCTGCTTCAGAGACCTGAAGGGCCTTGGCTACCCCAAAGTGGACCTGGACATGGTGCAAGGTTAAGGGCCCAGGCCCTTCTGCTCTGGTCACTGCTTTCCACGGACGGCAGCATTTGGACGGGCAGTTCGACTTCTCTCCTGTGCATGCCCAGCAGCTGTTTATTTGGGCAAGACGGGGTAACACCTTGTTGTGTGTGCCTACCTGGGACGAATCCAGCCTACCACACATGGCTGAGGCCTGCACACGCAAGGGACACTCTGTGTCTGGCTGCTGCTGGGTTCTCCACTCCAGCTGTGCCAGCCTGATCTTTGCACCCCTGGCTTTTGTGTGCTGGGCCAGCCCTTTGCCAGCCAAGTTTAGATGAGCTATGTGGGAAACATAGCTGCTGTTTGCATAATCAAATTAATTACATGTGTGTTTGAGTCTGTTGCCTAATACAACAGGGGTGGAAGGCTAATCTCCTTCCCTTCCAGCCTTCATCAGACAAAAGGAAAGAAGAAACCTATTTCTGCTGAAGTAAAGCAGACCCTGGCAGGTCAGCCACATGCCAGGGACAGGCCTTCTTCCTTCACAGAATGCTGTTAGAGACCAGAAAGCTCAGAAGGAGAATCTGATTTCAAACTAATTAAAAACTGTGATCTTGTAGCAATATCAAGTTGGATCATCAAAAACCTCTTATGAAGTTTTACTTAAGAGCTGGTGCCAAAATATGCAGTTTTCTTTGTTCCTCTAGGGCAGATGTTGGCCACCACCATGTGATGAGTTAGCCTGTTGCCTCCACAGCCTTCTGCATTATTCACTCCAGCTTTTATGCTGAAATTAGACGAACAAGGGTGCAGAGAATATGTCCATTGAGGCAGGGTCTGATATCCTAATTTTTCCTTTTCTGGTCCAGCATGCGCCTGCTCCAAACTGGTCTGAGAGGAAGGCAACATTGTCATGGGTGCAGGAGAGGTTGATTTGGCCAGTTGTCCGTGGATGTTTCCATGGGCACTGATGGAGGATATTATTTCAGGATGGGAAATGGACAGATGTGTGTCCATCTGCACGTGCATCCACCTGCATGTGCCTCTCTCAACACAGCTCAAAAGGAAATTTAGTTAACTTTGTGAAGGTGTCACAATGGGACAGCCAAGAGCCACCAGAAATGTTTGTGAGGCAGAAGCCAGAAGGCAAAAGAAGCAGCAAGCAGCACACTTACCTGGGGTGGAGGGGCAGGGGGGCAGGAAAGGATTGGGAAACGGGGGAGGGATGGAAGAAAGACACGCATCTTCATGTCCTGACTGCAAACCCGGAGAAGTGTGAAAGCAA